TTTTGTTCTCGATGCGGATTCTTTTAATTACTTAGAACTGTGGAATATTTTTGAAAGCAACATAATGTATAATCTGAACAAGAAACAAATATTTTTTTAATTTGGCATCCTCTGATGCTTGACTGGCATAAATTTATAACTTTTTCCGCTTGACAAAGTTTATTATTTTGTAGTTTAAACTATTTTAAAATGTTATAATTGACTAAATTTGAAAGAGAGTTCATGATATTTCATTTTCTGACTAAAAACGTGTAACTGAACACCCTATAAAGCTTTCCATTTTTTATTGGGGGTCCTGCTTAACTAATCCAAATATTTTGATTAATTGATTCGAACCAGATTAGTAAATGATTTGATTGTCATGAAAGAACAAATAATTTATAATGTACTCTCGACTGTGATTTACATGTTGTGATTCCCTCCTGCTTATCTTTAGATGATTATTAGAGCGATCGTAAAGTTTAAGCATGATAACCCAAGTTCACCTTTATTTACCAAATGATCTGTGAAATACAAGCACTGATAGTGCAATTAACCTTTTATAAATATATATCCAGCAAAACCACCGCCTTTTACGGTTACCCCAGTTACAAATTGAAATATTTAACAGAACCAAAGGGAAAATCAGAACGTGAAAGCTAACGAGGGCTCAAGTTGAGCCCAGTACATTTTAGGCATCTGACCTAAATAGATTATTTTGCAGGCCCATACCTAAGCTACACCACGATTTTACAAGGTTGGGACCCCGCTGCGTGTTTGACTTGACTTAGCTGACAGTTTGGTTTTTTTTTCGAAAAGGAGTCAAAGAGCCTGCTGATCAAGCTTCAATTATTAGAAAATTAAGCCAAAAAGCCTGCTGATCAAGCAGCCTGCTTGTCGATCTCCAGTTATTCAGATGACACTCACCTGGGTGACTGCAACTACACGCAGTGAAAGAAGTATTTTGCTTTCGTGTTTATTTAGAGCAACAAACAAATAAAAACACGGAATGCGATCGCGATGGTTTGAGGAAAGTGCGCCAAGTGTTCCGCTTCAAGTCTGAATTCAAACTGATCGTGCGTTGAGCAGAAATCCCAATTAAGTGCACTGCAGAACTGAGAACGCGACTGGCAACATGAATCCAGAACAATTTGTTGGGGAACATTTCGATGAACAGGCTAAAAAACAAGTTGCGTGGAGAGTGGAAAAAACTATCATTAAATTGTAAAAAATAAAAGAATATGAAAATATGAAGAATTCGATATTTATTATAATTATTATTTTTGATCAACATTTTCTTACCGATTTAAAAAAATATTTTTTGGCAACTGCAAAATGTGACAGATTCTAGATCAAGAAACATTGGAATTTCGGTTGAAAGATTCATGTTAAAGCTTAGGATTCGATAATGCATTGAGAAAAACTAGCTTGATATGAACTTTAATAATATATTCCATTTTTATTATTCCTTCAACCCTTCTATATTTCTTTTCTCCAGGATATATTATATTTGTTTAAATAGCAGCCCTATGACCTTTATATTGAGGTTGTATTTGCATCAATCGAGAGTTTTCCAATAGCCCATGGTCCTAAGGCATGTCGAAGTCGCTTCCGAACAAAATTAATGTAAATTTATTTAGAATCACACGCATGTTCCGATGCCGGTGGAAATTCAGAATTGGGCTGCAGCTGCTAGTAAAACAGGGAGTCGATTTAAAAATACAGTCACGCCTCATTTTTTATGCATTAACTGTGTGTGGCCTAAACTCTTGCCCCATGGCATGCAAAATAGGGTGACATGGGAATGCAGCCGCAGGCAATTGGCCAAAAAGTGAATTTTCCATGTTGTTTTATTATTAATTTCATACTTTTCTGCGTTTCTGCTGGGCTTGTGATTCAGTCCGTCTGTTCTTGGGTACATTCCCTAGGCTAATGGACCCGTATTACACGCCCACCGAAAAATGGCCCACACGCAAAACCCATCTGCTGAAAGAAGAGCACACAATGTGTTGGCCAAAATGTAAATCTAGACGTGGGAATCCTTGGCACGTCTTTAATCTCGCACGCCTGTAGGCAGTTTAAAGTGTCCTTTGGGATTCACACACACCCCGAGGAAGTTACACACATAGAGATTCTGGGATAGAGAGTGGCCTACATACACAATTAGACAACAGACACGGCCAAGTTAACAGCTTATCCGCAATCCGCATTAGGGTAGCGGAGGGAGTGGAGCCCGGATTCCTAGTACGGCTCATTGTCCAACTGCCTGCTGTCAGCCCAATGTCCTGATGTCCTGCCAGGACGTGCCCTGATGAGCCAGGCCAGGTAGCTCGAGAACCGGAAGCCCGCCACATTTGCACGATGTTAATTTTGCAGCAGCAAACTTTAGAGGCATTAGTTGGACCTGCACAGTGGGATGGAAGTCCATTTAAATATTTAGGATTTACTTAAAAGTAATATATTGAAAGTATTCCCCATTTAATAATAATACTAAAATATTTTTTTTAAAGAATTATCCTAATATAACTGAAATGTATATGGTTGACCTGCGATCACCTCAGAAGCAACAGCAACATTTATTAATTCTATCATTAATTCTAATTATCCCATTAATTATTTTAAATATTTGTTCATTTTTTATTACCTTTTTTTATAGTTATTGCTATTTTAACATTTATTAGTATTTTTCCACAACCCACTGTACCTTTAAAGTTCCCACGTCATGTGTTGATACTTTGACATTTTAGGACCAATCCTCTGCTCCTTGATATTATAAATTCAACTTTAAAAAGCAGGAAACTTTTGGGTTTTGGCACTCAAGCTCCACTCTAACTGGAAGCAAACAGAGTCGCATGGAGGCGTCGTAATCATAACAGTGATGGGGCTTAAGTGCCGACCAACCTGTTGATTGTGGCAAACTCATCATCAATGCAATTCAAATTCATTTTGCTAAGTTCAATTGAATTGCTTCTGCTCTTTTCCACTTGAAGCTGCAATGTTTGCTTGTTTGCGGTTGACGCCGCCGGTGGCAATCAATTGAATTACATGTCTGTTGTTTCCTGCGCGCATCGTTAGACGTCGCCACAGTTTTTACATCTATTGCTCCTGTTGCAGCTTCCACAGCAGCTCCGACACCATTTCCCTTTCCCCCTGTTTTAGCCATCGGGCCAGGGGCATTTGCATGCCAATTTGACTTTACAAGGCGTGGCATAATCGAGCGTGGTGTCAACTCGTTAGAGATACTTGCGCCTGGGGATGCTGCACTTGGAAATAACAGGGAAAAAATCTTCTATCTAACATAGAACATGACAAATTTTTGATATGGTTATCAAAATAAAATGAGTGTTTGAATTGCTCATTGAAGACCTCGAAATTAATTTTAATCAGCTTTATGAAATTTTTCGTTATTAAGCTTTAGCTAAAAACCAATTTATCAAAAACAAGAAGAACGCTATAGTCGAGTACCTCGACTATCAGATACCCGATATGCAAGCAGCAAAGCGAAATTAAAATGCGCCACCTACCGGCGGTAGACAGATTTAAGCGTTATGGGCGTTAGAGTGGGCGTGGCAAAATTATTTTTGGATCAATCGATAGGTATTGACGACACCAATACATTTCAGTTAAAATTTTTTATCTAGCATGCAAATTGTGGGCGTCACAGGTTTTCGCGGTTTGTGGGCGTTTAAGTGGGCGTGGCAAACTTTTTTTTAGGTCAATCGATAGGTATTGATGAGAACAATACATTTCAGTTAAAATTTTCTATCTAGCATCAAAACTGTAGGAGTTACAGTTTTGGGCGGTTTGTGGGCGTTAGAGTGGGCGTGGCAGTCTACTGAAACAAACTTGCGCTGCGTAAGAAGCTCAGGAATCTGTACGCCAAATCTCAATAGCCTAGCTCTCATAGTTTCCGAGATCTCAGCGTTCATCCGGACGGACAGACAGACGGACAGACGGAAGACGAATGTAATCGACTCGCTTGATCCTGATCAAGAATATATATTTATGGTCAACGCTTCTTCTGCTGTTAATACTTTCGACGAATCTATATACCTTTTACTCTTCGAGTACGGTAATTTATGTTGGATCATTTTCTGATCCGCAAGTTAAACTAAAAGTAGGTTTTAATCCTTAAAGACAAGTGGAAATGTAAAGTTTAAAACCTACTTTTATTTTAGCATGCAAACGTGAAAACATTTACATTTAAGTAAGTTACGATACATATGTTTATTCGCAGTTTCAGAATGAATTAAAAATTCCTAAGTGTAGCTTCCTGCAGATCTCCCTATGTGTTTGCATTTGGGACTATAAATTGCAACATCAGCAACCGTTACATTTGCACTCGATTGCATCTCGCCAAACAAGCACCAACCAAATGTGTATGGATATTTCCACAGAAATGTTCACAACTCTTAGTACCGCTAGATAAAATGGAAGTTCTTTCATAAAATCAGACATATAATATAAAATTCAATCATTTTTTTTTTATTTAATTTTTATCTATGAAGAACCATATTAAACCAAAGCATTGTATGAATTTCGGTTCTATGGAAATGCCCGTATGCCAGTTGAAACCATCCGCTTTTCCTGCCAAACCCCTTAACCCACTCATGCCCCTGCCTTCCCTAGAACACGAACACAAAAAGGTCAAGTAGACGCCGCCACGGGAATTTGTGAGTCTAAGTGCACTAAAGCAAGCAACTATATGCAAAAAAAAGGAAAATCAAAACAAACAAAACAGGAAATGAAACATGGGAAAATGGTATGTAGAATGTTTTGCAATGTGAACAATTAAGAACAAGTTTTTCCAAATATATTTAAATATTGATTTTCCTTTTTGTTATGTTAGCCGGTTTTATATTTCATCTGATCATGAATTTAGAGAGGCTGATTTCTTAACATGAGTTTTGAACCAATTTTGTATCCTAAAAATGCAATAAAGTCTTTTCATAAAAAGATCCTATTTTGGTTATTGAATAAGTATAAATGGCAATGGTTTTTCTCTTCTTTATTTTTTGTAGTTTTCTTTTCCAGCAGCGCATTGAGTTTCACGCCCGCCTAAAAGCTCGCTACGTCCAATGCGCACTCAAAGCGGTTTAATAGCGGTGGCGCTAGTGCTGCTGCTCCTTCTAACAGCACCATCCAGTGCGGCGGATGCGGAGACGGAGTCCTCCGCCAGTCCTCTGCCCCTGGCGATGATCAACCGCGCAGGGTGGTGAAGCGGGCGCCCACGTCCAGTTCATCGGGATGCGGGGCAAGAAGGACGAGGAGCGGACACGTCAGAGGGTAATTGGCTGGGATCTGGACCCGCATCTGGACCGGATCCCTTGGACTACGCCGACGAGGAGACGGATAGCTACTACTCCGAAACGGGCGGCGACTCAAGAAGGCGCCACTGGCCTTTGTGGCATGCGCGGCAAGAAGTTTATCCCGATCAATGCCCGCCTGAATGACGTCCTGCAGAATTTGGAAGAGGAACGACTGCGGGAGAGCTGTTGCAGGATTTCTTTGACAGGATAGCGGGTGATAGATCTGCTGTGGGCAAGCGGGCCCCACAGGATTACTGGTATGAGGGGTAAGCGTCCTGCTCTTTTGGCCGGAGACGATGACGCGGAGGCGGATGAGGCCATGGAACTGCAACAGAAGAGGGCGCCGGTCAACTCCTTTGTGGGATGCGCGGCAAGAAAGATGTCTCCCACCAGCACTACAAACGGGCAGCTCTCTCAGAGGTAAGTCGACTTACCATGCAAGTACAGTGGTCTTCTAGATAACTTTTATTATCCTTATCATTGAAGTACCAAAAATACTATATGTTAGTAAAAATTGACTGTGATGTTAAACATATAAAATTCAGAGTTACATTTAGCTTAAAATTTAGTTTAATTATTAAAATCTAACAATTTTAGTTAGTCTATAAAAGAGACCATTGTACTGCTTACCCTCTTAAATGATTTGAAGATCTAATAGCCCCCAGTTCTGGCACAATTTCTTTAAAAAGTCCTACGACTTGAGGGGAAAACAGCAGCGCTTCGCAGACTTTAACAGCAAATTTGTGGCAGTGCGGGGAAAGAAAGGTGATCTGGAGGGAACGGAATCGGGAACGAGGAGATCCATCAACAGGCTTTGGTACATCCATGGCTCTATCTCTGGGGAGAAAACGAGCGCCCAACGGATTCTTAGGCATGCGAGGCAAACGGTCAGGTAATACCTCATTCTAACCATATATTCAAACTAATAACAAATTCTTTTTTTCTATTTTTATTTTAAGGCAACTAAAATGGCTGAGTTGTTATTTCTTTTTTTTCTTAATAATTTGGATCCCATTTAAATTCAATAAATTCCATTCTCTTTATGTATTTGTTTCTTTCATTCACGCAGCACTTTTCGAGTAGACATCGTTGAATGATTCAAATAATCTTGATGGAAGTTCCTCTTAGAGCTACGACACTAGAAAAATATTGGATGGATGGACGCAGGGGACCGGGAGAGCAGATATGGAAACAGAATGGATTACATGAGTGTTTCAAATAATCGCTGGGCTGGAGATTATTTTAAACACGGACACACAAAAATAAACACCGATAAGATTTGCTCTGTTAGTTGACACAACATTTCAGCTTAATGTAAAACGAGACTTGCAAATAATGTTTTGTAAATTTAATTGGAATTGAATGATGCTTCAAAGATTAAGTGGGTTTAATTATACTATTTGCATATCTAAGTGTAATCTTTTAATCAAAATTAAAAAGAACATTAAACTAGAAAAATTGAAAAGCACAAGATAAGCAGAAAAAAGAGGGGAAACATTTATTTATTTTCAAAATACATCTACGTATACAAAAGATATATACACCTACATAAATAGCACAAATAAATATTGTAAATAATGAATAAATATTTATTTCAAAAACTGAAGTGAATGCAATTTTTTCGAATAACCAAACTTCACTTTCTTTTTGCTAATGTCTTCGGAAAGGTAAGTTATCTGATACTGACTAAAATCAAAACAATGAGCAATTTAAGACAAAAAAACATTAAAAAGTCTTCTCACAATTCTTAGAATTCAATTTCAACTACACATGTACCTACATGCTGACATCTTGTTTATACAAAACAACAAAAGCCGAACGGAACAGTTTCAAAATATGAGAAGACTCCTAATAAGGTGGCCCAAACCCGAGTGCCCACAGACCAAAAACAACAGTGATTGATGGGTGTTAGAGGTTACGGGGATATCCAAAATTCAAGTGCGCACTTCCACAACTTCAGGTAGGAAATCCTCTTTAGCTGCAGTTTTACCTGAGCGAGTTTCCATGAATTACTTTTAAAAATCTTTTAACATCGAGATATAAATCAAATTTAACAGGGTTATATTCTATTTGTTAGGTCCTATATCGTAAGATATAGTCATCTGACTCCAGGCATATTCCATGATGTTTATTCATGATTTATATTTCAAATGTCACAATGTTTTGATCAATAAATAAAAATTGTTTCGTTTCACACACTTTCTTATATAGTGCGTTACATGTTGGCACTTTCACAAATCATTCGTACCTCTTGCCACCCGCATCGAACATAGGTACACCCGATCTCAAAGCCTCCCCAAAAGTTCTCTCTGTTCTCCCAAAGCTGCCGTGATCACTGTGCGCTGACATCGACTGAGGCAGCGACTGAGGCAGAGCAGCTTATAAATACCAGATGTTCGACGTTCTTGGGCAGTTAGTTTTAAACTGCGACTTGTAGCGGCAACATCGTCGGAACAACCAACCTATTACCACTTCGTGAGTGCCTGTTTTTGTGATCGTGGTAGCTGTTAGATGGCTGGAGCCAGGAGCCAGAGACATTTGATAATTGAGTGTGTGCCAATTTTAGTAAAACAAGACAATTGACAATAATTACACGTGAGTGACAGGCAGCATATGTATACATATTTGCAATTAATGCGTGAAGACAGTGGAAAAGTTTCTTCTTCGGCCGTCGCTCTCACTCCCAAAATCAGTCACCTACATACGCGAGTGCACCGCTGCGTGGAAAACCTGTATTTTCTGGTCTCCACTGGCCGCCTCAGCTGTTTTTCCATCTCAGTGAAAATTTCTCGGATCCATCCAGCCATACCAGCTACAGCTACAGCTCCAGCTCCCTTGATTACAGCAAATTCAACTTTCAGCTTGTCTCATTTAACATTTACTTAGCTCCCAACTGAGGCTCAAGATTGTGATACCAAACATGCTACGGCTGTGGGCCTGCCTACTCCTACTGGGATCCATCCAGATCCAGGGGGTCCCATTCTACGGCGAGTGAGTATTGTATTTCAACTCTTTTTTCGTGCTGTGTAGCGTTCGTTTCATGCACATTTCACGTAGTTTGAGTTGTTTGCGTTGCGGGTTACTGGTTAACATACATCGACATCTTTTGATAAGGCATGAACTAAATGTTTGATGTTATCGGAACAAATTTTAAAAGCTGAGAATGCCTGTACAACTAATGGGTTCTGAAAAAACAAAAAAAAACATTAAAGCCCATATAAATGCCATTCCATTGATTCATTAGTATCTAGAAATTTCTACCAACTAATCGTATCTCAGCTCATTTGAGACCCTTTAAGGGATCAGAAAATGTTTACGATCAAAAATTTGACTTATTTAAACAACAAAACCGAATAATCACTAACTAGATTCCTAAATTGAATCGCTTGATAACATAAATTATAGTAATGTGCCTAAACAAATTGATGTAAATCTCAAAATATTCGAAATATTCTAGAAACTTCTACCAACTAATCGTATCCCAGCTCATTTAAGTCCCTTTAAGGGATCAGAAAATGTTTACGATTAAAAATGTTGACTTATTTGAAAGAACAAAAACGAATAACAACTAACTAGCTTCCTAAATTGAATCGCTTGATAATATAAATTACAATAATGTGTCTAAACAAATTGATGTACACCTCAAAATATTGGAATTAATAGTTGATCACTTAGTGATAATGGTTCCAGACAAATTGCGAACTATATTAGAACTATCTAATTTATGCTGCTTAATTCCTGTAGTACCCTTTATAGAACCCTCTAAGCCTTTCCCAATAAATTAAATGTTGAATTCCAGTTCGAGTTCGAGTTCCGATGAGGTTGCTGAATTCGAGGCCTCGGCGGGCTCCTCTTCCGAATCCTCTGATAAGTCCAGGTGAACTATAAGTAAACCCTAGCTGCTGAAATCCCTCATTCCCCAGTAGACTAGACACATTCACAACTACTTACCAAAGCAAACACTCCGAGTGAGTTTACACGGAAACAACTTTAAAATTCGTTACATGCGTTTGTACGTTCCCCACGGGTTCCAAAACCCAATGACACCACATAAAAGTTGGCTAATACCGGTTCAGTGCTTTTTATGACATTTTCAAGCTCAGACAGCGAGCCCTGTTTGTTCTTGGAGAAATTTTCGCCCGCTAAACGAAACTGCAAATAAAGTTGACCGAAATGTTTATGGTGGTGGTGAAGCGCTGAAAGAGCGAAAAGTTCCCCCGGAAAGAAAGAAAGTCCAAAGCCCGGCGAGTATTGACCTCAATTGATAAACCTTAAACTGAAACTGTTGAGTCGAGGAGATTGTCTGGCGATGTTGATTCCCCCATCGAACTCTGTCGGTTCTTCGGCGCAATTGGTAACTGGTAAAAAGGCCACGATCCAAGTCTTTGGCCGACTTGCATTTATCTTATTTTTGCGAAAGATACTGCATCGCAAGAGAACAATGTGCAACCTAAGTGGGGCAACACCGCGGGACTTGGGCAACCTCAGCCACAACATCCACATCTTCTTCCTCTGATCTTCGATGCCGCTCCACACTTGGCTGAATTTGCAACCTTTGGGTTCAAAGCGCCGGAGGGTTCATCTTTACACAGAATTCTCCAACGGTTTGGCCCTGAAAGCAATTGACATTTGACACGACATTAAGTGCTATGATTATGCATTTTGTGGGCAGGTAATGCGCCGGCTAAAGACTACCCCAAAAACTATATAATCTGCCCTCGAACTGGGTCACCCACAATTTGTTTGGTTTTTATTTTTCGGTCTCGTATTTCCCCCTTTTACGCTCTCTATATGTTTTGATTTCTGCCTGCCACGGCTGCGCTTTAATTAAATAAGGCAGCCATTTGGATGGACACATCTCTGCCCTCGGCGTAAACATTTCTCTGGAAATTTCTGATTCATCATCTCGTCTGTGGCCAATGACTTTCGCTTTGGCTTCGAGCGGACAGAATTTAGTTTGTTTACATACAAATTTTATTCGTCTTACAGATTGGTTATGCATTCTAGAGATATCAATAGGATGGTTGAATACTTGACTTGGAAAAAAATATTCAAAGTATTCATAAATTATTCACAAGTCATTTAATTAAATGTTGATTTTGGAACTTAAGGAAAATAATGCTGAATATCAAATTTAAACTTAAATATTATTTTTTTAGGTTTTTTTTAGAAAACGTGATGAAATAAACGATTTTTTGAGAAGTAGTTGTATAAGGAAACATAAAAGTTTTCTAGCTCGACGGCTAGGAAATTTTTCTGTTATATACACAGGAAAAATCTATTATTTATGTGGATAGTTAAAATGTAAAATGAGTGAACAATTGATTGATGGACATATAATTGATTACAGTCGGAATGCACTTATCCTAAGCAAAATCATAGAAGTGATTCCAAGCAAAACTGACATATAAAAATTAAACAAAAAAGAGGCACTCATTTATCTGGCAAATGGCCAAGCCTCGAAATCGTTCTTTCGGCTTAAAAGCCTGTAAATCTGGCTGAGCTACATTGAGCCCTACTGATCACGTCCCATCCGGATGAGTCATCCAAAGGCAGAACTCCAACCAGAAGAGAATCGGATACACAGAAGTACCTCAAAGTCAGCAACCGAACAAATTGTTTACGTTTTGCCTTTTCGGGCCTTATTGTTTTATTATTTATTTCAAGCTAGTTTCGTTTTGTTTTTGTTTCATTTAGCACTTATTATGAGCTTTTTTTAATTAGCTCCCGCGAAGCGAATTTTAATGACCCGCAGCGAAAAAAAATTTAAAGTTGGCTAACGTTCAGTTTCAGTCTTCATAGAAAGTATCTGAGTCAGTCTTAACCGTCTGGATTTCGCATGCAGTGGGAGACCCAGAAAAAACCGAAATCCGTTGACATAAATCTCAGTTGATGGATGACAAGTGCAGAACATTTCTCAAGTTTTGTATGGTTTATTTTTTTGCGATTGTTTCGGCACTTAAAAAG